TTACTCACGCTCGTCCTTCCATCAGCCATGCACCAGGAATTCCATCGTTGATTTGGGTTCTAACTGACATACTTGATAAGGTCTGGGTACCAACGCTCAGTACAAGGACGGAGTAGGAGCAGCCAGGGGGACGGCTTGCAATCCGACGCCGTGAAGAATCGAAAAAAGTGCGAGGGTTATCCCGAACAGGTTGTCTCGAGGTACCGTAAGGGACTCGCGATGCCGCCTTATGTCATTCGAGGAATGCCACTGCAAGCAGGTAACCTGACACATTGTCTTGTCCGAGTAGTATGGGCTCCATCACAGAATATCCGCAATAGGACCCATATTTAATAGCCGGCTATGCCTGTCTCGACACGACGTGGAGGAGCGGGCGAGACTAGGATGATTTTTCTTGAAATAGAAATCCCCAACTTGGGCGACGCCGGAAACTCGTCCCGGAAACATCGCTGTTATTCAGGAAGAGGCAATCTGTCGATTCTTCCAGTGTTATGTATGGGGAACCAGTAGGAGTTGATGCATCCTCGCACCCTGATTTCGGCCTTAGTGAACATGCACCTCCGAGGCTAGCGGTCATTCATGTCGCTTGAGCCGAACATGGGAGCTAAAAAAAACAGGCCAGAAAAGCTAGACGGTGACTATGGTCCGACAAGAAGCAGAAAGCTTTGTTGAAGAGGTCTGCCAGCACGGGATATCAGAAGTGCGGTGAAGAAGAGTAAGAATATGGGTTCAACCTTCGGAGATTTTAACCAACAAGCTGGACCGCTGGAAATCATCACAAAATCTTAGGGCTGATGAAGTCTAAGAAAAAGGTGTCAAATGTCAGAAACTTGAACCGCAGAGAGACAAAGTTGACTTACCTGTCCCACGCAACTACATGAACACCAAGCCCATCATCTCCACTTCTGCCTAGAGTAGTTTTATTACCGGACGCTGTAGGTGTTCGCTGGTAACAGCCTATGCCAAAGCGGTATGTCTAAAAAAAAGACGTGTAACGCGTTCAAATGCTGCTCTGCGTCTCAAGCACTGCTAGAAGAACGTTCGTCAGGCTGGTAATCTTTCATAAGAAACTTGGCGACATACCACCCCATGCCCAGCAATATCTATACCATTTCCTTCTTATATATTTCAGGCCGCTCTGGGATGAAGCTTGTGGAAGCCGCCATGACTCAAGACCGGAAACGATGTCTGTGTCGAAGTGTACAACCATTCTTCGGAAGGTAAGTTTCTGAAATAGGCCGGGCATATTGAGAATGGAGGCGAAATGAAGGGCTGCAGATACGAGATAAAGCTAGAGGGGGAGTGCGATTGAACCTGATGGTTTTTAAGGCCTCCTTGGAGATCTGAATTTGACATGGACCGCGATCTTCCCGCGCCGAAACATTAACGGGCCCAACTCAATGCAAGAACACCCTGCAAAACCGTTGAGTGAGAGCCGACCATCGTAGCGACTAACATCCGAAACGTGAATAATTGATCGTTCTACGGTTATGTGAGCGTCTTCCATCGCGGATTTGAGCTCCAACTTCCAACGACTCATCCAACCGATATACCTATGGTCCAGGTGAAAGCGTTATGGTAGTCTCTTCGCTAGCGATTGTCCATGATATACCTGAGTAGATACGGGTTGAACCATCGTCAAAGGAGCCTGTCAGTAAGAAGCGTCAGGAACACGATGAACAAGAGCAAGAATGTTTCTAACCTTGAGCGACTCTAGTAACCGTCGTGTCGTACCGGCTTCGAGCATCATGATCCAGGCCAAAGCGTCATGGTAGCCGGTTCGCCGGTGATTCTCCATGACATGCCTGAGCCAAATAGCGTACGAGATGAAGAGGTACGGAGTAAAGCAGATCTGCGGAAGGAGACTTGGTGAAGGAGCCTGCTGGTACGGGCTTGATGAACACATAATCGACGCGATTAATGGGCTATTCTGAGGGTTGGGGTAAGCTTGGAGGATGCGAAAGCACGTCTTAGAACGAAGAAACGTACCCGACATATAACAAGGTTCCTTCGAATGGCCGCTGAGCTCCTCACACTTCAACATATCGCCGATACAGTCCAGACTAGCGCGAATTTCTTGTGGTAGCAACGAGCTTCGAATCGGCTGTGACGTTGAATCATACTAGTCAAGCGACAACAGGTCCTCAGACTCGGAATGCTACACGAGAAAAAAATCACATACCCATGCCGCTAGCAATAATCCACTCTCAAAACGAGCTCTCACTCCAGAATCCATTTCTTCGACGCGAGAAGGTATATCGGAATTGAAATCCTAGGTCCACATATGTAGAATCGAGTTTGAGCCTTCCGAGAGTAAGAGTCCATCCAGGTTTCAGAGACAGAAGCGTTCCAGGGTTTAGAGCTCGGAGTCCGAGAGGAAGCGCCGCGGGCGTGACTGTCACAACGTAACACTATGGCGCCCGCGATGAAAGTAAAGGGAAGTACTGTGTGTTTACGGTTCAACTACCTAGGAAAAAAAGTAGGTAGCAGGAACAACTGGACTTTGGGAACATTGTCAAAAACAAGCGAGAAAACTGTATATATGATTCGACCCAGGCTCGAACTGGGGACCTTCTGTGTAGCATGCGTAAGGACCTTTAAAGATCATGTTAGACAGATGCGATAACCAACTACGCCATCGAACCAGATAACCCTATCCTTCCTCTACGCACTGTGATCCTTTTCGGTAAACTCAATGGCAGTCGTAAAAGAAAAACGCCAGCATTTCTTATCACATATTCGTATCGTCCATACATACACCCCCCTTCCCCAACTATACCAACTACATAGATCACCTCTAACCGAAATGGAACTTAAACTGCTGTCCCCCATGATGTCCAGGCGGACTCTGCTGGAAAAACTGCGCAAACGGATGATCTGCACCTCCGAAACCACCGCCACCACCACCACCTCCGTAATGATACTGGAACGGTCCACCACCCTGCGAAGTAGGATCGTTAGGGTCGTCACCTGCGTCAAACCGAGCTCGTAGTTCGGGGTTACTTAAAACCTCGTATGCTTCGTTGACAGCTGCCATTTTGGCTTCGGAGCCTCCTTTGTCGGGGTGTGCGGTTTTGGCTGCTTTGCGGCTGAGAGTAGGAAAGGGTTAGTGTTGAGTGTACAACGAACAGACAGAGAAGGAACGAGTAGCGATAACAATCCACGTGACTTGGAAGGACAAACGCCACACGAAAACAGGGAAGAAAGAGACACTCACTAAGCCTTCTTGATCGATTTTTCATCCGCATCTCTGCTAACCCCAAGAACCTTGTAATAATCCTTCCTCTTCCTCATCTTCAACGCCTTCTTGGCCTCTGAAAGCTTTCTATGGATGTCTCTATTCGATCTGCGCATGTGTGGCGTTAGCGTAACCCAAAAACAGAAAATAAACCAAAGCGTACCTGCCAGTAGCTTCAAACGCCCTCTCCAAAACTCTAACCCCTTCTTCTACATCCTCATCTTCATCCTTCGCCAACAGCACACTCGCTTTACCGACTAACCCATCAACATCCTCAGCGCAACCTTCCATACCAATCAACTCCCCACAGAACATCTCCGTTTTCCTCAGATACGCTGATCCCGACGAAGACTCCGCCAGATGCGTGTAGGCCCGACATAACGCGCGAATGAGCGTCTGTCTCCTAGGCGAAGCGATCTTCGGGTCCGGTAGAGGTATATCCTCCTGTGAAGCCGACGTTGGTGGAAGGAGTTGCGCACGAGCAGTATTGCTCTCGAGCGCTTCGTCGAATTTCTTTAACAAATCTTTTTCCTTGCCTTTTCCTGCGTCGGTAAGTAAGGCGACGGCACCTCTCCAATCTTCCTTCTCCAACAAACCCTGCAGCTTGCTGAACGAACGTTCAAACGACTTGGCAATCCGATGCAACGAAAGACACTGCTTATTATCCGGATCAAAGTGGAGACACTGTTTCAACGGGTTCAACGCTGCTACGCCTTCTTCTGGCGCTGGTAAGAAGAAATAGCTGAGCCGGAAAACCACTAGGTGGAGTTTCATCGCGTCTTCCGGCGGGAGTAGGGACGCGAGACGTGTGTAGTCGCCTACAGCGCCAGCGACGTCTCCGGAGAGAAGAGAACATTCGGCGCGGAGTGAGCGGATGGGGATGCTGTAGGGTGAGTAGGTGTGGATTAGGGTGGAGGTGGTGGTTACGCAGGCTGTGGGGAGGTGGGAGGTGTGTTCTTTCCGGGCTGTCAAGTTGTGTGTTAGTGAGAGAAGGGATACATGGAAAGTAAGAGGTACCTTTAGAATAAAGCTTGGAAGCGTCTTCGATCTTGGATTGCAGGTCCGCTGCTTCGGTTGCTTTGGCCCCACTACCACCAGCAGAAGGAGATTTGAAGTACTCCGAAACAGCCCCACTCGCAAGGTCGTATTCACCTTCCTTCAAGTGAATCTTTGCTTTCATCAAATACGCTCCATCAAATGTCCCATTCGTCAATTCTAGGACTTTATCGAAGTCCTCCAAGGCAGCACCATGTCGTGAGAGAGAGAGATACGCAGTAGCGCGTTTATAGTACAATAGGTAATCTGAAGGGGATAGTTGGATGGCTTCGGTGTAGACAGAAGCTGCCTCGTTGAATTGACCGAGAGAGAGGAGGTGGTTTGCGCGTGTGGTTAGGGGGAGGAGGTTTGGTGGGTCGACGGAGGATGCGTGGATAAAGGGAGTTAAAAGGGAGAGGAGGAGGAGCGCTGGGATGCGCAGGTGCATTGTGGTTTGGAGAGAAGTGGTTCAAGTTGAGATGAGGTCACTGGGATTATGTAGTTGATGTGTCACTTGCTGTTTTTGGAAAGAGACACGTTAGTCCTTTGGGCGCTTCTTCCACGGTACTCCACGATGGTTGAATGGGAGTTATATGACTGGCTCTTGGTAAGTATGGAAACTGGGATGGAAGATGGAGAAAATAGTGGAACGGTATGGAATGCTGGCGTTTACGAGCCTGTTTCGGAATTGCCATCCAGAAGATGAAAGGTGAACCGCAGGACATCTGGTTCGATGGCGTAGTTGGTTATCGCATCTGTCTAACATTGTAGTACCTTGGTATGGTGTTACACAGAAGGTCCCCAGTTCGAGCCTGGGTCGAATCACTATGGCAGAAACTATGGACCTTTTTGTTTCTCTAATTTCAAACGCGTCCTTTTCACTCTCCCTTTTCTTACCGGTAAACTTTGTCGCTCGGAACTCTTGCAATCTTTAGCTCCAAGATTTCACCAGCCCGCTGGCTTTGAGACAGCACCCGAAAAGAAACAATCACATCTCCGAGATCAACCACGACCGTCGATGGAGCTCACCGACTCAAACTCAAATGCAGATGGTTGGAATTCGAGACGTCACGGTGCCGGTACGTCCTCTCTTGATGGTCACAAGCCTATCGTATTCACAATGAAAGCTTTTTATAGGTGACTAGTCTTCTCTACACCGGATCCTCGAGATGAAGCTTCAACGAATCGCTCACCGCCGGAAACTTCAACCTAAACCTTGGAACACTCGGATTTCAGGCATACTAAAAGCAATGCTCCGAGTTTTTCATTGGGTTGCTTCGAAATTCCTCGATGCTAGATACATAGGGCTCAATGAATGGTGTGTTTTTTCACCTGTTTCTTCTTCACAAGTATTGAACGTTGCCCAGTGACACCACTCAAACACCATTACGAGGCTATGTGTCGTCTTTCTCCACGCACCGGCCTCCCAAAACGACAGCATACCATTCGCTCAAAACTCAAAGCTCCGGAATCATGCTCAGAAACACACAAAACTCCGACTCCCAAGGCACGCGATTCCTCCATTCCGGAATCTCGTATTCAACGTGTAGCTTCCAGGCCTCATCTCCCCGCATGGGTAGAAACAGAAGGTCTTGCCTAAACATTAACCTTTGAGAGTCGATACACACGACTCGTATCGGTAGACCGCGCAACTGGAATAGTCGGTATGTTCTCCAAGTTCTTCCCTGTTATCTGTTTTTGACTGAAGCTCCGAACCACGATCAAGATAGGCGAGGTGTACTGCTCACTTCATCCCGGGGTACGTGATCCGTTCAAAGCAACTTCTTCGGCGAGGCTGACGTTCTTTCGTTGTCTTCTCCGAAGAACCCGGCGACTTGAACAGCGATTGAACCTTGCTTATTCCCTTCCTTTTAAAAAACACGGAGGCGGAAAGGTTTTCCCCGGCTCGAGGCGCATCACGTCTGTCCCGAGGAACCTCTCTGTGTAGACCGTTGATCGTTTTGTCGATGGAGGCGTAGTCAAGGTAGATTCATGCCATCTTGTTGACCTGTCTGGTGTGATTGACGTCCTCTTTCAAGTAGCCTGGGTCTGCAATATCACGTCAGAACTGCCTGCTGGGAAATTAGCCGGACAAGTAGGAGGTGAAAAGAGATGGTTCGCGGGGTATGAGAAGAGTATAGGTGAGCATTTGTCTAACCTATCAGCACCCGGCCCACGGCTTATGTAGAGGACCGTACCAGGCTTATGAACACAGTCAAGTTGATATTGCGTATCGATCCTTCCGCCTACTTTCTCTTAAAATCTGGGGATAACACCTCAATCGTTATCCTTACCGCCTGGTATTTCTGAGCTCGGGAGTCGGGAGTCGGGAGGTAGCATTTGATAGGTTTCCTCTGATGTTCATGGCTGGTATTCAACCGTGACAGTACCGCATCAACCATATAGGCTAGAACTCGTTACTCAATACCAGAGACAGATGCGGGCGTACATGCTGGCTGGCCCGGGGAACGATCTGATGCCCTAGATGGAAAGCAGCTGTCGGTAAGTCTTCCTTGTTCTGTGACTCGTAATCTTATAACCTTCGAATTTCAGCGCAGCCTCGAAGCCCTAACAACGCATACTGGTCTTCCGGTATGTGAGATATCCTACTCCCTTTTCTACGCAAAAGTCTGATATCTTCTTAGCGGTATTTTGGCACTCCGAGTCGAATTCGAGGCTCCGCATCCAAGTTGCTGTTGCCCCTATTTTGGACGACTTCTGTCGTTCCATTCCGAGGAGCTGAAGATGTGACGTGCTCATTGTGACATTCCTGGTTTCGACTCTCCGAGTTCGAGTCAGTTGAGCTTGGCAGGTTGATCATGCTGTCCCAGCGGTGGGTTAAGACTGACGACTGACGACCTGTTGGCGAGTTTCTTGTGATTTACTGCTTCGGATTACCGTAACTAATTGAACTTGCACGATAGGGTATTACTACAGTATATGCTAGAAATCAGTCTGAGAGCCTCAGCTGTTCGCCAGGTCATGAATGGATAAACAAGACATCAGCGCCACTGAATACATCTCCTCCATTCTTCGTGTTCACCATCTACCTTGCCTTCTGCAATATCACTACAAACAGCACACGAGAAGCATGCAGTATCCACTATCATGATACCTTCGCGTACAGACAGCACAAACGCTTTGCGCGACAGCGGGAGACCCCTTTTCTGCTTGCCTGGTAAGTCCATATAAAAGTATAGTGCTCTTTGTGGAAGCTTCATCTGACTTTTCTTTTGCTTCAGTTACACCATGAAATTCTGCGCTAATCTTCAGTCTGCCCTTATTGGCCTTTGCCTGTCCGCAATCGCCGTCTCAGCCTCGCGCGGCCTCTCTCTTTCCGTTTCCAGTGCGTAGCATGTCTTCCACCACCACTGTTGCCATTATTTGTTAACTCCATCGCCATGACAGGTCCGGAGAACGTCGACGGCATCAAAAACCTGAAAGTCGTCGCTTCCTTGCAAAACACCGGAGACGAGACCTTGAAGATCTTGAAAGACCCTCGCGGTGTTTTATCCACTCTCCCCACCGAGGCATTTGGTATCACCGATATACAGGGTGTTACGCCCAGCTTTAACGGTGTCAAGCTCAAGTTCGTACCCGAGCATGCTGCCAAGTTGGAGGAGTCGATTGTGGTCCTCGAGCCTGGTAAATCTATCGAGGTCGAGCATGATCGTGGGTAGTTTCGAAAGGGCATTGTATATTCATGAACTCAAACATCTGACAGTGTCGTCTGCGTATAACTTTACGCTTCCCGGAGAGGGTCTTTATGATATCCATGCGGACAACTTCTTCCAGATCATTGACCCTGCCACCAATGAGCTCACTGAGCTTCGCGCTAACCAGGAGACATCGTCTCAGGTTAATATCAAGGGCGAACTCGTCATCGATCTTCCTGACCTTGATGTTGGCCTTGATCTTGACCTAGGCCTCGGTCACCCCGACTCAGAAGCCGCTGGTACTCATCTCGAAAAGGTCGAGAAGAAAGCCACCTACAAGCATTGCTCTGCCACCCAGAAGAGTCAAATCGCCGACGCTGCCACCGCTGCTGCCAAATATGCCAGTAGCGCCAGTTCGTAAGTATTAACTATTCATCGGCAGTCGCGCGCTTACTGAAATGATCACTCTTCCAGCTACGTCCACTCTCTGAGTAGTGGAACTGATCGCTACACCACTTGGTTCGGAACCTACACTGCGGCTCGCAAGAAAAAAGTTGCCAAAAACTTTAAAGCTATCAAGGGTTACGCCTTCTCTGGCGAGACGTATGATTGTTCTTGCACGGATTCTGATGTATATGCGTTTGTTACTAGCAAGTCTATCTCTCTCTCTCACTGATATCCGCGTCGTTCGATTCTGATCCTGTTTTATTTTGTTATATAGTTGGTAAATACGGTATCATCAACATTTGTGGTGCCTTCTGGGGAGCTCCTCTCACCGGAACCGACTCCCAGGCTGGGACTTTGGTCCACGAGGTTTCGCACTTTAAGCGGATTGCGGGAACCGACGATATTGTGTATGGACAAAGTGACGCTAAATCGCTTGCGTCTAGTAAACCCAAACAGGCAATCAAGGTTAGTCTCCTCAAGCTCCTTCAGTTGCTGAGCGTCCAATACCAATCTGATCTACGTATTACTAGAACGCAGACAGTTACGAATTCTTTGCTGAGAACGATCCTGCCTTGTCCTGAGAGGGAAAGATATGCATTTTCGTTTGAAGAAATATATGTACCGTTATTTTCGTTGCCAATCTACAGTATCTTTTTGCCTGGTACCACGCGTTCGATCTGGTCCTGCCTTGATTCAGGATCGTCCTTCAGCGCGAATAGATTGTAGAGATGCCTAGGAATACAACGTGTCCTGGGTGCTTTTTATGTTTCATATTGATAAACACGGGAACTACACCACAGCATCTATGTTGCGACTGGACAAACGGTACCATGAGCAGTCGGTCTGTGTTCTCTCAATGATTAATTCTCAACCTGGCATAGGTAATTATGGTTTAGCAATGAGTTTCCAACGGTTTGTATGAAACTTACCAGGTCCTGAGATGCAGTATATGCATGTTAGTTCTCGAAAGAGTCGGAGACTTTGTCATTACGATCCTTCGTTTATCTGTAGGCTGTCGCATGGCTTCGTTAGGACGTACGATCGTGATGCAGTGCGCAATCTACATCGATAGAGTCTGACAGAGGGCATAGGAAAAGGCACCATGAGTGGCGTTAAAAAGACAGTCCGCGCAGCTTGGTTTTCCAGGTTGATTTAACAGTCAGTGACAACTGCTTCGGCGGTGCTATTTGGACCCAAAGAGCGAGTCTCTGCTGCCTTCCGTGTTCAACGTTCAACCCCGATACTGTCAGGACTCAGATTATGGGGCATTAGTCAATCAACAATAGCAGAAAAAGCAAGAGTAACAAGTCATAGACAGACTTAGCAAGCTTGAAGCATAGAGTCGTGAACTCGCGGGTGGTATAGAAATGATCACCGGCAGTTTCCGAAAAACTGTACAGCTCATCAGTGGCTTGGAACGATCACGTGGCTCTTCACACAAGTTTACAGAGTCTAGAACTGAGGAGTTAGAGCGACTACTAATACTGTACTATCTTCTCTGTCCAGGTGCCCGCAGCGGTTAGAGATTCTGCCTTGGGGAGACTATGTATGTAAGGTCAACCATGACATACATGACAGGCCGACAACACGTGACGTTTCGCGGCTGGCGGAGCGTCTTGCTGCGTCTTGATCGGAATCCTTCTACTCACCGACAAGGTTCTTTGATAATATTAAACGCTTCCTTCCAATCGTCCAAAAGCGTGTCCACAGTTTACCATCTTG